TGAGCTGGTGCGCTTCTTCGACCTAGGTGACCTCGGCAAGCTTGAACATGGAGAAAGATCTGCGGCCTTCGGAGAGCGCTTCGGGGGCTCCGGGGGCTCGTCTGCTTTCTCAGCGGGTCTTCCTGCATCAGCGGGCGCAGCAGGTTTCCCCGCGCTCTTTCGTGAAGAGCTGTCTGACGGAGGCTTCCGCCCACGTCGGTAGATCCTCGTGTTCTCGATCTTGGCATTCTTTTCGCAATCCAAATTATACCTTCCATTGGGCAGCGTGCCTCGTACTGAAGTAACTATGCACCCAACGCCTTTGCTGTGATGCACCGCGGTGTCGCCGTAGCTGGCGGGTAACGCCGGTTGTCCTGGTCTTAATTGGCACCTTCGTTAGAAGAAACAGGTTCCCCCGCAGCGGAGGCCGCTGGTGCATCGCGTCAGGCCTCGTGGCGCCCCCGATTGCAGCGCTTAAATCGGTGCTCCGCATCCAGATTTCCCAATCCTTCTCAACGAATCCTGCCTGGACTGTATCTAGCGGCTTGTAGTCCGTCTTGGTCAGGTGCGTGTTACTGGGTTTGCAGCTTGGGCCCACCTTGCGGCCTTCGCCGCCCCCGTGGGGCCAGGCCCGCGGGGCCCTCTCAACATTGGGGCTCCTTGGAGGGTGCCCCATCGGGCAATTCGGTCCCTGGTCCGCGAAATGCCTGCATCCGCAGACCTCCTCTCGGTGCGTCTTCCGATCCGCAATGATGGTTCTTTTGTTGGCCTTCCCTTCCAGCGTTTCAACTGTCTCGGTGCCGCCTCTTCTGTTGGAACTGCTGATTTTGCCAATTTCTAGGTCCTGCTGCACATGCCACAATGACCAATGATGGCGAACTTGATACTCGGACAAGCCCTGTACCCGACAGTGCGTCATATGATCGTCTGGTACCTGTTGGCGAGCAACGCCGTCGTTCTGTTCACCCACTTATCTGAATCGAGGCTGGCCTTCGGGCTCGTCTGGGCCCTCGTCGTCATGGTGCGGGTTGCCCCGCGACCATGCCCTTCTTGGCGATCCCCTCGGATCCTGTGGATGTGGGCG